ATATTTCGGCCGATCACGGCGATGCCCCGTGGTCTAAGACGCCTGAACGCCGGTTATAATAGGTAAACACAAAATTCCTACTCAGGAAATTTCAATGAAAGGGCCAGGTAGTAGAGAGTCCAGGTTACCTCCCAACAAAGGGAAAGTCTTTAAATATTTTGCTTTTACCACCTTCATTTTAGTTGTAATTTAGTGTTTTTCGAGAGTAGTAGTGTTCGGAGACTCTTAGATTGTGACTTTTTTATAAAATAAAGTGACTTAATTTGGAATCAACTTATTTCATAGTATTTTGGCATTATGGAACCAACTCCATCAGGTATGTAAATTTTATTTTTAGTTATTTAAAAAGGGTAACGTCAAAAATACGTATTTATTAAATTGTTCCCTGATTCATTAGGTTCAAAAGTAACATATACCAGTATGTGCCGCACCTATTAGGATTTGAACTAACAGCCACAACTGACAGAAAACGCGTTGAAAGTATAGCGAGAATGATGCATAGATATATAATTGCAATAACTGACATTTTTATTTTGAGAAAATTAGTTATTAAATCATCAACTTTTACACAGGTTCAATTTCAAAACTAAAAAAAAAATTAAAATAATGATAAACACCCTGTATAGAAAAGAATAAAGCAAGAATAGCATTATATTTTAATGATTTTCTCCTTCTAAAATCAAATACAGATTTCGCTAAACATGATATACTACATGCAATAGTGATACCTTGTATAGTTCTTGTAAGTTTCTTTGTTTCAGGCTGCTCCTGCCAGGAAGTAGTTTATACTACAAAGGACATTTATGAAACGGTGAAGGACCGCCTAAGAGACGGGTTATCTGATCTATTGAATCATCAGAAAACGGTGATTACTGGGCGTAGTGGAAAAACGTTAGATATTCCAAAATCAGACATAAGCTGCAAGCTGTCAACAGGACCGAGCAAAAATTTGTGCATAAAGTATTATGGAAAACATGGAAAACAAGTAGTAGAAAATGCGCTATTACCAATTGGAACAATTATCCGACGAGGTTCAAAAGGCCAAAAATAAAGACATAAAGAACTATCGTGAAGATTTCTCTCGAAAGTTTTCTCGTGTAAAAACAATGGAAGATGTTTTCAATAGACTTCTTGTACCCTCCGATCCTTATATCTCTGGTCTTAGCAAACTTCCAAAGAAAAAACTGAAACAATTTTCAGCCGAAGCCCTAGAAATGCTAATATCGAGCGGTTCTAAAGATTTTCTACCTCACTCAGATGAAGATAATAATTAGTTAGTACTCCTTAAATTTAAATTAGTAATACTTCAATTCCGAGTAATAATTAGTAAGTAGTCCTTAAATTTACCTTAATTAGAAATACTTAGAGGTCTTTTAGTATTTCTGGTAACAATAAATATATTTAATATACTGAATCGCAATATCATTATTACAATTATAAGTGAGGTAGAGGGAAGGGTCAAGGTTGAAACTACCCTCCAGATACCTAAGAAATATTGAATTATCTGTGACAATTCAGACACAATTTGTAAATATATTCTAAATTTTGTTTTTCAATATAACCCTTATAGGTCATTATTTTTATTACTTATTACAACACTACATGGGCAATTTGAAAAATTTCACTATGGGTTTTACAGAAGGCATTTTTTTTTGTTTAATTAGCCAAATGTCAGCCGCCATCTTGTAAATGACATTTTTTTGAGCATATTAGGGATCAGCGAAGTTGTCAAACCCCAGATATCAATTTTGCTCAACTATTGCTTTTGTTGTTTTTATATTTTATCAAAGTACGTATTCATGGTGCAGCACTTTCATAACAACAATTTTCGTGTTTAGAATTCAAAACAAAATCAACACCCGAAAGCGGCAAAATAAAAAATTCCGCAATAAGCAATGAACTACTCTATATGTATATAGGGTTTTTCACCCTACCAGTTTGTTAAAATGAACAAGATATAATTGAGAAACACTTTTCAATATTTGGAATGGTAGGTTTCAAGTGCACTTTAAATATATTTTCAAGGTCCAGCCACTTCCGGTTCAACCGGAAATTGCTGTCAACTTGCTTATTTCAAATGGAAATTCTAAATATATTTTATGTAAAATGTCCTATTCCTATGCCTAGCCGTTTTCGAAATATTTGACCTTGTGACATTGTTTGAAATTGTGCCGCCAGCTTAACCAACATTGAAAACGCATATTTTTGTAGTTTCTGAAAAGTTGATCCTCATATCTGGTACAATGTTAAAAAAAGGCTTGTTATTGTTTATAGAGAATGTCCAAACTTATTCCGTAAATATTCACATATTCAAAGTATTTCTCTTCACATCCTTGCCTATGGAAAAATAAAAATGGCATTCTGTTGTCAAATTAAGACTTAATGGTTAGTATGAATTGTATGTCGCCAGTTTTAACTAACAATGCAAAAGTTTAAATTTAATATTATTAATTATTAATAATTAATTAATTAATACTCAAATGCGGATATTCTTAATTTGTTTTATATTCGCAGTGAATGTTACAAAGTGCCGGAGGGACATCCCTATTTGCCGCCAGTGAATAAGATAAAATTCAGTAGGATTGGAACGAACTATAAGATGTTCTATATACTGCTCGTTCGTTTGAAGCCACTTTTCGATTCTTCTTTGTGCACCTGCTACGGCTCGTTGAATTTATTGGCTAAATTTTGATATATACCCACAAATAAAAATCAAGAGGCGTCAAATCAGGTGACTGCGGAGGCCACCTCCAAGGGCCAGGAGAACTAATTCAGCGATTTTCAAACATTCGAGATAGATCGAGATAAACCAGAAAGCTACATATTTATAGGTATTTAAATTTTCGTCATAAATAAAATACCGCATCTGATTTCTTAATTAATTATTGCAAACGTGTGGATTCTGTTCTGTCCAAAAATGTTTTTTCTATTTATTATTCTTGAAATCTTCGATTCATTGGTCCAAATAATTTTTGAAACGAATTGAGGGTCTGCTTAAATTTCAACAACATAAATTCAAAAAATTCTATTCGCCGTTCATCGTCAACGGGTCTGAAGACCTGCATGTGTTGGAAGGAGTACAGGTATGGTCTGTTCATAGATATAAGAAAGTGACCAATTACTATTGAATGGGATTATCCAAAGGTGATCATTAATATACAATGCAAACAAGATTATTACCTAAAGTTTGAGAATTTAAATTCACGTAAAATTGTAGTCCGTAATAGAAAATAATTTTATACCTACCTGTATTTAATATTCTTTGGTTTGGTATACTACTCAGTTTAAGTTTATTAGTAATCATTCTTCTTTCGTGTGTAATACAGCGTGTGTTGAATCGAGAGCGAATTATGCAAAATATGTGCGAGTCTAGTGTATCTCAGGAGATGCTCCCGCCCAAATGTAGAAAACACTATTCTATTGAGACTAAGGAAGTTATAAACAATGTTTATTTGACTCTCATTGAACGTAGTGCCAGCAAGCAAGCATCTTAAGAAGAAACGGCCAAATTGACGAAAATTCCAACATCAACTGTATGGAAAATTGTGAATAATCCCATTTCAACGAGGAAAAAAAGAAGCGATGCTAACATTTTCTCGAGTGTAGATACAAGTGATCAAGATATAATACGGCGTTAACTCCAATGTCTTCAAACTTATAGAAAACGAAGTTTTTAACATCCCTTCACAAAGTTGGGCAAATTCTGTTAAGCATATAGAAAAAGCAGAACAATCGTATATCCATATTTCAAATAATATAGAACAAATAATAATTAGAACAGGCGATGAGAGCGATAGTGATACTGATATATTATGTGAATAATTTTAAGTAATTCAAGTAGGTAATAAAAATAATTTGTAATTTTATTTTAGATTTAAACATAAATACATACCTAAATAAATAAACATTGTTTAGTATCCTTCCAAACAAAACCCCAAATAATTAAATTCTAAGCAAAGTACGAACCTGTTCGGCCATATTTCATTCTTACAGCTTGCCCGGGTCTTTCCTTAATTCGTATCACTTTCTTGTATCTATGAACAAACTTTACATGTGATTTCTATCTGAATTCTTTGAACAGATGAAGCAGAGGGTATTGCACTATGTGGGTGTGCGTGGAAATAAGCTAATGTATTTGTCACATTATTCCCGTCAGCAATTATTGGGTATTGGAACATTTTTTGTAATTTTCATTTTTCCGAAACGCAAGAAGTTCGTTACAATCTTTGTCTTGGTCATTCGGGCAAAGAGGGAAGTCGTATATTAAAAATACGACAGGTTCTCTCCAGCACATTCACCGAGAATATGAAACAAATTGACAATAGCAGCATCTGAATATTCTCCGAAATTAAATTTAAACTGTTACTTTGTTAGTAACAGCTGTCCACGTAGAATGCATTAGTTTTCATGTTCGACAACAGAACGCAATAATTATTTTTCCACAGTCAATCTATGAGAAGGGAAAATGTTCAGCCGAACAAATATGACATCAATAAAAAAACTTAATTATTTGGAGTATGGTTATATAGGTAACCCTAATACAGCTTGATCCAGAAATAAGTTCTGTCTGACTACTTTGATAATGCGAATGTTTACGGCCTAATTTTGGACACCCTGTATAAAAAAGGAAACAACAATAATAAAAAATTTGAACCTCTTTTTTAACATTTTGCCAGACATGAGGATCACATTTTTACAAAGTACAAAAATATGCATTATCAAAGTTCGTTAAGCTGGAGGACCAATTTTTATTTAATGTCAAATATGTTTAAAATTTCACAGAGAATTGGAAAATGTAAGGGGTATGTGACAGGACGTTGAAAATATTTTGAAAAAGAAGCACCAAAAATTGAAAAGGGTTTTTTTATTTTATATTTTATATTTTATAAATAAAATTTTAGACCTTTTTAAAACAACTGGAATTTTCTATGACAGAGTGCCAAATACAAATTGAAAATCTTCCTTGTGGGCACCCAAGTTAAACAACAACATCAACTTACCCGCGATTGTATTCAAGAACATTAGATATTCGAAATTCGAAATCTCCCTGCGTTGCCACTTTTGCGTCATGTTGGAGTTTCTCATCAGTTGTCGGGGAGACATCATGCTTGCCCTTCTGGTCTGTGGTATGCCATACTTGATACCAACGCCCACTCGGGGCAACGCTTTGATCACTTTTTTCACGGTGGCTTGGTCGGGAAACGCGAACATAATTGAAGCTTTAATAAAAGAATACGCCCAAAATTACTTTTGATAATTAGCTATGGCGGTAAAATAAGTTAACCAATTTTCACGGCTTCAACCTTTAGCCATTAAGTTAAAAGAAATACGGTACTTACTTCTACTGGCCAAGAAAATTTCGATGGCATTATTCTGAAGAAGGTACCTCCTCGAAAAGATTGCCCTTACTTCCGAAAAATACCATTTTCCGTGAAGGTGGTCGCAGTATTTCAACACCTGAAACAAAAACCCATATAAAACATCCGCCACCGCACTATATACTAGATAAGTAGAAAACATCCAATTTAAATTGAATGAGATTCAAGGACCGGAAATGTAAGATGATAAAGAGAAATGAAAAAAGTTAAAAAATAACGTGTTTTCGAGAAGATTGTAAATACTTTTTGTAGATTTTTTTGAAATTTGGCGTCATTGTAGTAATATGGAAGATAACTATAGATTAATATAGACACAGTGTAGTCAGGGTATTGATTTTTAAAAAACACTGCTAAAAACATTTTAAATAAAATATTTTATATCGTGAAATTTCGAAAATGTTGAATAGTAACTTATCAACCTCTGAAATCACTCCTACATTAACCTTATGTCCTTATTCTATAACTTTTGAAAAAATGGAAAAATGATGCTGTTTTTTTATAGAGTGGCAAGTAGGTATTATTTATAACCTCTTAATTTTCTTTGTGCCACATTTGAATAACACTTTATATGTGCTCTTACAAAAATGCATATATACATCATACATTACCGATGACGCAAAACAACGAAAGGCGAAGGGGGGGGGGTCCCATTGTAGTTCCGACAGCATTTGTCAAAATACAATGGGAAGCGTTATTAACAAATTGCCGAACGCGTCGTCCCCCGAGCGAATTCTTAAAACCCCCGCTAATCTCATTTGGAGAGAAAATTGGCGAAATTCGGCACCCTCGTTAATGAAAAACAGTATCAGATTCCCGAGAAAGGGACTCGCAGATGATTTTAATCATCAACATTATCGTGTAACATCCCTAAATAGGTTTCTTTTAAGTTTTTAAATATATACGTGACGCGCGCTTACTCATGATTCGGTTAATGGATAAAAACAAATTTGTTTAGTATAATTTTGATACAGCGTCCTCCACCACAGCGTATTTCCTTTTTAGATCCCCACAAGTGGGAAATCCGAAAAAAGTTTAATACAAAAGTTACACAGATTTGGGGGGTAAAGTCTGTTCATAGATATTGTTCTGCTTTTTCTATATGTTTAACAGAATTTGCCGAACTTTGTGCAGGGATGTTAAAAACTTCGGTGTCTATAAGTTTGAGGACATTAGAGTTAACACGGGGAAAAACATTGTTACGACGAATGGCAGATTTCAGTTGGCGCCAAACATGTTCAATGGGATTAAATATACAGTGGTAAGGTAGAAGCCTTAAAACTGTATGCCCTAGATTTTTTACAGACAGACAGACGGATGTTCAAGCTTTGTAGAACCTCAATTTTTTATATCTTTGTGAAAATAAATGTCGTTATTATACATGTAGTTTTGGATTTTTGCTTTTGTGTCACATGAGGAAGGGGTTTTAGTCAAATATCTACTGTGATAACTTGCATTGTCCATTACAATGACGCTATTAGGAGGAATGTTTGAAACTGGTTTGTTTTTAAACCAACTTTCAAATAAATCAGCGATGGTGTCTTCGTGGTAATCCAGAGAAGAATCTTTAATATTTTTCGCAGACAGAGAAAGTCCATTTGGAATCCAACCATCTTTAGAGCCAGCACGCAAAATAGTTATTCTATTACCTCTTTTTGATGGCGCGTTTGTATTACACTTATCAGTTGAGTCCACCCAACCCTTTTCCGGAGTATGGTCTGTGTCGAACCAGGCCTTTGTTGTTCTCTGTAAATCCTAATTTTTTCTAGATATTCCAGTCGCCATTTCCGAATTCTAAAAGATTTCATTAAAACTTGCCTTTTGTCAATTTATTTAAATCTAAAACCCATCTGTTGAATACACTTCCATAAGGTAGTTCTGCTACATTTAACACTGGTTTCATCTTTTTCAAGCCTCCTAATTAAGATATCTAATGTAGGCATGCTTGGTTCCTCGTATAACTGGTAAATTTTACGCCGTATTATATCTTGATCACTTTCATCTACACTCGAGAAAACGTCAGCATCGCTTGTTTTTTCTCCTTGCTGAAATGGGATTATTCACAATTTTCCATACAATTGGTGTTGGAATTTTCGTCAACGTGGCCGTTTCTTCTAAAGATTGCTTGCTGGCATAACGTTTAATGAGAGTCAAATAAACATTGTTTATAACTTCCTTAGTCTCAATAGAATAGTGTTTTCTACATTTGGGCGGGAGCATCTCCTGAGATACACTAGACTCGCACATATTTTGCATAATTCGCACGCGATTCAACACACGTAATAAGAATGATTATTAATAAACTTAAACTAAGTAGTATACCAAATCAAAGAATATGAAACACAGGTAGGCATAAAATTATTTTCTATACGGACCAAAATTTTCCTGAATTTAAATTCCTAAACTTTAGTTAATAATATTGTTGCATTGTATGTTAATGACCACCTTTGGATAATCCCATTCAAAAGCAATTGGTCACTTTCTTATATCTATGAACAGACCATACACCTTATAAATTATTCGAAATTTTTATCTAGGATCTAGAATATTTAGCATAAGGTTCTCACCGGGTCTCAAATTTCATTTCGTTTTGCATTTTGAACACCCATTCCAAATAAGGATGACTAGCCGCCCTATTTGGGAAGGTGTTTGTACTAAAACACTGCTACGAGGCTTCTAGGTTCCACGTTAAACTATTTATTATAATAAAACAATATTTATTTATTTTATGTTTGAATTGTGTCGAAAATGTATGAGAAAAGGGAGTCTTTTTTGTCGTCAGAGTAGGGCTTATTTAAGGATCATCTCGAATTATTGAAACGGACATATGAGCTTTAAATTTATTAACGGTAGCGAAAATGAAAGTAAAAGTCATTTGATGTGTCTTTTATCGTGCTAACATCTATACCAACGTTTTCTGTACTTTCTTTATTATATTCCTTTTTCTTATTTTTTTATTCCTTAGAGGGTTAATTATTTCACAAACGATAACCATCCTCAGTATAGAAGTATACACGGGTGACGCAAGAAAGTAGGAACACTCTGTAACTTTTAAACGGCTTGAGAGAGCAGTTTGAAATTTGGAACGGTTAATATAAGCTGAATGTCCAATTTTTTGACAGTATGTAGTCACTTCCGGTTTGAGCGGAAATGACAGTCACTTTCGAATTTTAAATGGCACAACCTATATTTTTTTGCATTTTTGGTTTCAGGAGATTATTTTACGTAGGATAGGACGGTTTTTCTTTTCTATTTTTTAAATTTTTATTTAATTTTTGAAAATTGTGTCTAGGAGGCTGTGACCATTATAAATACTATTTACCGCGTCACCTGAACCCGGGAAAAATTTTAAATGAAACTTTTCTTGACTTGTCTAATAGCAAATAGCATTTAATGTAACTATTAATTTTTTAGGATAACCTAGTTTTTTCAAATAGCACCCTAGTTTTCCCACTTTTTTGTGTTACCCGGTATATATAATATGATTTTTAAATAGATCTAACCAGGAACGATTTATAAAGTTTATTTTAATATTCTCCGTTAAATTGTATGAACTATGTCAATTATGGAACTGAGGTGACTTTCACTTGAAGAGAAACCATTGAACAAAATAAATAAGAACTAAAAGTTCAGATTTTTACGAAATTATATACATATTATAGACACGGTGTATGCAATTTCGTGAAATTCTGAACTTTTAGTTCTTATTTATTTTTTAAATGTTAATTATAAGTTATTATAAGTAAATTTTCTGAAACGATTGTAATAAAATATCATGAGGATTAAAACTTTTTAAAAAAGAATTATATAGAATGAAGGTAACTTTTTCAAAGAAGAATTCACAATTTTGGGATACAGTAAACCCTCATTTTGTGAGTGAGAGGGACTTCTAATAGAAATTTCAATTTAATGTCTGATATGATATATGTTTTCATTTGTATGATGGAAACTTAAACTCCCAAAAATGTGTTAATATCATTAAAAGCAGTGTCCGATTTCTTGAACACATTGCCACGTAGTCTTCTACCTATGATATTTTTAAGAGACGTCTGAACGTCCACATTTCAAAAGCTTCTATTCTAATTATGCTGCTGGTTCTCATTCTCTCAAAAGTAGTTGCAGTTCGATATCTCTGCAGCTCAGTACGTTTTTAAACTTAATCAATTTTGCAAGTGCTTTCTCTGTTCTTGTTTGCTGATGATGATTGAACAGATATACACTTTTTGCACTAGTAACGCTAATAACTATGGTTTACGAGTGTCCCGCATAAAATTAGTATTCACACCTACGGAGAAATAAATGCCGGTCCAAATAATATCTTTGGCTTTTTAGGCTGAAAACAGTTTTTTACAAGTTTCGCGTGTCCGCCAGTTTATTTGTAAGAACCACCGTCTGTAACAATAATTATTCTTTTGTGCGTTGTATCGCAACAAGATGGCCGCGTATGTAAAATGTTAAAAGTATATGAATACGTGGAAAAGGGCGGACCTCAGATTGTATCGATCCTGCGGCATTAGCGAATGGAGAACGTCGGTTCCGAGAGAATGCGCCGAGTGGTTTTTACACGCTCAGCAATCGAAGAAACATCAAAATGTATAAATTAAACGGCGACATTACGAGCACTAAACGAATCGTTAACCTCGCAGATATGCCGGCTCGTCGCGCGATTTTATTTCAATGTTAGTCATAAAACTAAATTTCGCACGATCATCCTGTCCACCTTCCTTTCACAACGACATATGAATCGTTCAGAAGCAGAGTGCATAATTAAAGTTTTAACTAAAAAATCGAGGAAAATGTAAAAAAAATTACTTATTAATAAATATTTGGTTATAAAAAAATGCATATAATTTTATTTTTTATTTTCTCACTTCTCACTTTGTCATAAACAAAACACTTTGACAGAAAACAAAAACAGTGTGTATATAGAAGGAAACCTTGAAGATCTTTTTATATTTTCATTATTTCACAGGTCTTTCAGTAGGGCAGAGGACGACATTTAAGTAACCTCCAATATTATTTTAGACAGAAAAATACTATGGAAAAAAGCGTTATTGGTATTTCAATATTTAAAATAAGCAT